CAACCACGTACAGGTGCGCTAGTGCATTGGTTGTTTCACTTCGACACTCCAAATAAACGATGCTACTCCAATGGATATTTACCCAGCTCGAAAACTGGCTTGCGAAACGCACGTACCAGAAGGTTGGCTGCGCTGGGCTATACGGGTGGGTGGACATTCCATTAGCACAGCAAGGCGAGTCACACAGCAGTGTGCGCTGGGCACTAGAATGTTTGTCCCACCATTCTCGTGTCCTTGTGGAAGTCGATCGAGGCGCAAGTCACTTCAGAGCTCTTTGAAACTCCACGGCTGTTAAGCAGTTTGATAACCATGTGAATGTACAGGTTTGTCTGCAGTCATTGGCCGCTCTGTTTGCGGAAAGGCCTTGAAATACGAGCGTTTGCCCCCCGTAGACAATTGAATCACTAAGAAGGGAGGCAACGCGCAGAAGCTTTAAAGCGGCACTGCCACATCCACGTAGACACAAAACCTGATGTATCTAAAAGTAAGCTAAACCTGCTGCTAGAATATTTGACGTCTGCCTCCGCCAATCTCAGCTGCTGCGGCTGGGTGCTCATCTTCAGGTGTGAAATGGACGCTGCCGCCATGGATTCCGCATCATGCATTTCTGGGCACGATGGCAATTGCAGAAGCGATTAATCCAGTTGCGAATGAATGCACAGCTCTCCCAGTGCCCGCAGTGGAAAATGTCTCGACAGCAGAAACTAACACAGACTGAACTACGCGGGCGCAACGGTAACGTCAGCGTACTCGTCTGCGTTTCCAACAGCGACTCACAGACCGTTCATCCAAGTCGTCTCCTTCAGCTTTAACTTCCCTGTATCTCGTAATGGTGTGCGAGAAATATACAATGGCCAGTGCCATAAACACAACTGAGATGTTGCCGAGGTAGAGGCGCGTCTGTTTCGCTCGGGCATGCAGCTGGTAGCTGGCATCGAGCTCCTTTACCCCATCAATCTCTTGAGGAGCGGGTTGGGAGAGGGAAGGGGGTTCGCCGGGGATAGGGTCTAGGGGCTTTTCAACCGGAATGGCGAGGACGGCCGTGGAGGTCCAGACAAGCAGCAGTAGAGGCAACATCGTCAAAGCTGGTAATGCTGCCCGCAAAATACAAAAATACAAAGTATTTTAGATGTTTCTTATACTGTGATTACACGCCTAGGCGAAATCACACACTTGCCGCTCACGCTAGCTACCGATCTCGCTGCCCTTTGTTATCGTTGTAGCAGCATTCTGGTCTGTGTACCTAGTTGGCTGTTATACAGCCAACTGATTCTGGCATCCCTGCCACAGCAACAGATCCACGTAAATACAGTCAAGAAAGCTGTCTATGTCCGGGATTACTCATAATAAGTACATGGATTGCGAGCCAAGGCACCCTGGGCATGCCAAGTGTAATAAATACCCGGAGGTTCGGCAGGGTGCCTTCAGGTTTACTGGAAAAGGTTACGTACGGGCTTCCTAACTTCAGACGTAGTAAACAAGAAGCGTAAATGAGACAATTTCGAGTTATTTAGCGACAGGAACCCGTGTAAGCACGATAGTTACTTCCCACCGTGTAATGCCCTGGGGTCAAATAGGGCAGGTGGAGACGCTGAAATTGCTGAAGCTGCAAACGGACCCAATATTTCACTGGAAAACAGTATAACTTCATAAGTTTTAGGAGATGCATATGTCTGACTGTCAGGAATCTAGAGGGAACCGAGGTCTAAAGCGCCGTTTACCTTCACTCCAGCGAACTTCTAGAACTTCTAGAGATAACCGACATATAACGGGCCGTTGGCCTTCACTCCAGAGGACTCTACGACGCAAAATAGCTATACGTGGTTTCAATAGCAAACTAAAGGTGTAGCATGAGTTAGCACAGAAGCTTTCACTTGGTTTTGGTACGCTGTGCGTAAACGCTTGCAGACGTTCTACAAGTTGTAACATGAGTTAGCGCAGAGTTAGCTCAGGAGCCTACCGACGGCTTTGGCATGCTGCGCGTAAGCGCCTGCAAACGTTATACAAGTTCGTTACGAGGCAAAGCATGCAGCAAAGGAAGCTTCCCTGAAGCTTCCTTTAGTGCACGCGTGGGGCTGGCTTGCTCTGCCAGCCGCAGCGGGGTGCGCTGCAACCCCATTTCGGGCTGCCTCCTCCCCGCGACACCCTGGCCCTGGGCTCAACGCCCAGGATGCCTAGGTACCGCGGAAGGAGGTCAGCTGCTTTTGGGAAACTATTGCTTTAAGTCTTTGCCTTCATTGCGGCTCGTCTCTGGTCAGGTCAAGGCCAGAGAACTACCGTTACACTTGGTAGCACCGCATGGTTCATCGGGGCAAGGTGCGAACGCGGATCCCACCCCCACACGGGT